AGAAAATAACGGAATTAGGCTATAAGGAGTACTACAACAAGAGTATGACTCTACAAGGGTATCAGGCTATACGATCTATATATATAGATAATGCGAACTGGGTTTTTGTCTATTACCCAATCAAAGCTAAAGGACAGAAGTGTAACTTCACAGGAAAAAAAGCAGCCGTGCAGTATGCACGGGCTCTCGCTAGTATAGAATAAAAGCCTACAGAGAATTTCATGTTGCTAAATGATCTCTTTTTGATCGTTGTTTTGTTAAGTATCTTCCGACAATGTCGTTGTATAGGACTGAAAATGTTATCGTAGTCTCTTCACTACACCCTCAAAATATATCCTGAAAACTTGATACAATTTGAATATGTCTGACCCAAAATCAATTTTCGAGGGGTGAAAGTCTTAAAAGAACTTACATAAGGTAAAATTAATTTTTGTATTTGATCATTAATAATTTGTCCATTATATGAAAGAATAATTTTACCACCAATTGTACTATGATAATCATTAACAATAACATCATATTCATTTTCACTGAGTAGATTAATACATTGAGCTATAATATTAGACGGTATCAAATCATTTGAATTTGATACACCATCAAGATGACACATTATCGAACAAACCGGTTCAATATAAAATTCATTTGGTAAACGACGAAGATAGATTGGTTTGTTTTGTACAGGAATTATCATACCCCAATCCAAATAGATAACAGTTGCTGTTGATAAATCTGATGAAATTTGTAAAATACGACAACGAAACCAACGACCCTCATGAAAACACGCACATATTTTATTTATTTCTGGTCTATTAAAGTCAATTATATGAAAATATAACAAAAACAACAGCTAGAAGAAAATACATACTTAAAAGGATGATTAGGTATATAATTTGATTGTAGTTCTGGATGTGTTGACATTGTATGAAGAAGACGACAAGCTCTATTAAAATCTTCATGTAACATAAGCTATAGGATATATATACATATATTATTTATAAGAAAACAACGAAAAATTGTAATTTACATGAACAATTGATGGACTTTGTGGATGAGATATATGAACTTTCGTTAATTTTTGTTCATGTTCTAATGGTTTATGTTTTGGTATATCGATTAGAACAGGTTGAGGTTTTATTTTTTTTTCTCGATTAATTATATTCGATGATAAATTTTGTATAGAATTAATTGGTTGAAATGCCGATGATGATGTTTGCTTTAACAATGATGTTGTTGATTGTTGGTTAGATTTTAATATGAAATTAGTTTGACAATCATCAATAATCTTATTATTTACTTTTTCGATTGATGAATTTGATAAGAAATATGTTGATATTGATCGAATTGGAGCAGCTTGAGCAATTATTGCTGTTGGACGTGTTAATATATCAGCAGGAGGAATTGCTGTTAATAAAGCTGGTGGCGTTAATTGTTCACCTATTTGTTGAAATTCTTCGAAAGAAAAAAAAAAATACTGTTTTATTCATAGAAACAATTTATAAATTTACCAATGTGATTATGACGAATGAAATCATTCGATTTAACATGACCAACATCAGGTTTTGGAAACCAATGATGTGTTTGTTTATCTTTTGTTTGTTCATCAATAGTATCAGTCGTATCACTTATCATATTTAATTGAGGTAAATCAGCCTTTTGACTATTAGTATTTAAATTATTTTTTGTCTTTTTTTGACGTATTGCTAATGGCTGAAGACTACGAATAACTGATTCAAAATCAACATTAATTGCTATTGATGATAATATAGAAGAATTTTTTGCTTTTATTGTTGTATCATTATCATTATTATCATCTTCTGTTTCACCTAAATTTGAATTTGATAGAGATGATTGATCCCGATCGTTATCATCATTATTGTTAATACTATGACTATGCATTAAATGAGAACCAATATGACTACCACCACGATATCCACGAACTGGACGTTGCATTTATCTGAAGTTAGAACAAATTTTAGTTTATTTCTTTTAAATTATCATGCTTAGATTTGTGTATCATTTATTAATATTCAACACTAATTAGTAGTAGTAGTGGCGTCACGAGAAAATATGGTAGAGACCTTACGAGAGAACTTCTTTGGCTGCCTTCATTCGGTTTCAATGATTTTTGCTTAGAGACATTACAAAGTGTTCGAATAATTAAACATAAAAGGATTCGAGTTCGTATTGATCTTTGGTTTGGCTAAGTTATCGAATTTTTAATATGTCTACCTTCTAAAGGCTCCAGTTTTTCGGAAAACTTCTATCTTCGAATTTTGATCTGAAACTTTGTTCATGTAGAGAACTTAACTAGACTAGATTTCATACAAGAATTCGGAAGTATTGAACAAAGTCTCTTCAAGATATGAATCTTTCAAAGAATGCATCTGATATACACTATCGATGAAAAGAGTCTATATCTTGAGTCTCATATTTCGAAGAGACTTTGTTCAAAGCTTATGAACGTTTTCATGAAAGCTAGTGTAGTTAAGTTATCTATCAGCACAAAATTTCAGATCAAAGTTCGATGATACAAGTTTTCCGTAAACCTTGAGCCTTTAGAAAAAAAGCATATTGAAAATTCGATAGCTTAGTCAAACATCAATAAAAACTTAGATTATTTTAGGGTTTTTGTTAGGACCCTATTTAGTATCTTTGGGAAAAAAAAACATTGAAATAGGAAGAGAACCGCTAAAGAGGTTCTCTCATTAGCCTTCCTGCCCATAGCTGCAAAGAATTTGAAGATCTTCGGATAATGCTTCTAGAAGGAACTCAACCATTTGTGATAGGGATCCAAAATCTTCTGTGGGTGGATTGAGCCTCCATCTGGTAACACTAATAATTAACAGCATTCGTGAAGGCTACTATTTCTATGAGTTCTTCTTATTTTAGTTATCCTTTGTCCATGATAGCAAAGTATACAACTATTTAACAATTGTTATGTATAAAAACAAACAATTCGATTATTATTTTTTCAAAATATCTTCATATGAAAAATAATAATCGATTAACACATACAAAAGAAAAATAACTTATGATATTAACTACAATAAAAACGGATTTAATCATTATCTTCATCACCATCGTCGTTGAACAGTGTTAACTTAGCACCGAAACGTTTTAGTGGCCAAATAACATACAACGCTCGTCCAGTTATTAAGCCTCGAGCAATCTGAAAATATGATAAATTTGTCTTTGATTCTATGAATTATTACTTTGACTTACACAACCAAAATGACGACTATCATAACTTGCACGTTTATTGTCACCTTCGACCCATACATGTCCTTTTGGCACTTTTGTTTCTTTTTGTTTTATTGTATCACTTAGAAAATAAATGTTAACTAAGAAAAAAATACGTTACTTCAAAAATTACTTTCTTACTAAATCATTTCATCTTCTAATGCTTTTACGCGTTTGATCATAAAAATACCTGGTTCACGAGGAGATCTTACAAAATTTTCATATTAAACAAAATTCATCGAAATAGAAAAGTCACAAAAACATACTCAAATGATATGACATCACCTTTTCGTAAAAAATAGTCATCCATATGCCATCGTTTTATTAAGACCCAATCACTATGCAAACCAGTCGGATTAAGCAGAGGCTACAGCAAATAAATTAATAGTCAATCATAATGAACATAATCTACCTGCATTGAAGTACCATCAACAAGTGATATTGTTGC